AAAACGTTTCCCTTTCCTATTGCAGTATGTTTAGTAATTGTCTGAATCAACTATTCCCTCATATACATTTAAAGTAATTCAGGGTTTTCCAGTTAACTAATACAATCAATATGTCAGCATATTCTTCTTATGGTCCATTTTCTGGATACCAGGAACAGTAAATTATTTCATTGCACATTATTTTGCCATGGAATTTAGCTCAGACTTTACAATACTTTATTTCACAAACTAACTTTATTTATCATGTGCAGCATTTTGTGCTTTAGTTAGCTATCAGGTCAAAGTTCAATGTCAGTTACAACACTCTCACTGTCACAAAATAGATCATCAAACACAACACCAACACGTTTTTTGGGATATTTATACACTGTTTGGGATGGGTTAAAAGAGTAACAAGAGTTGCAAAAACATATAGATAGATATAAATGAGCTCAATATCAAAACAAACATAAGCACAACCGACCATTTATTACTGTTCTTGCACGCTATTTAACGTCAATGTCATTTAACCACACATAAACAGTAAATAAAATGTTTTAAAAGTGCATGACTATGTATCTTCATATCATTAGTTTGAATAGTACTGAAATGAAATAACATTAATGTCTTACAGTGGTCTTGTCCCGTAACCTCCAGAGGCAAGAGCTACTAAACACAACAGCAGAGCACTGCACTGCCCCTTTGGAGGAGGAAGTGCTCATGTGACCACATCCAACCAACCAGAGAAGCGCTGCTGCTTAAAGGCGCACTGCACCAGAGAATGTCTATGAACCCATACCAAACACCTGCGTGCTCGGTGAATGTGAAAGCCAAGGAAAGAGGTTTCTAAAGGTGTAGACCTGCAGGAGTGTGATACTTTTGGGATTTTCAGTGTGTTTCATATGTTGCCAGACAGAGGCATGTTGTAAGGCAAGGCCAGACAATTTTATATTTATTTATATAGCACATTTAACACACATTCAAAGTAGTACTTTACATCAAAATTATTATTCTTTAAAAAAAAGAAGATCATAAACAGATAAATAACAGTTTTGAAAGAAATTAAAATAATTAAAAGTGTAAAATAAAAATGATTACAAATGTATTTTGCACATTTAGAAGTAAAGAGAAGAATATAAGAGAACACAGGCCGAATCACAGTGCTCATTCAGTAAATACACAGCACAGCTGCACAGTATTTTGGTCTGGTAATAATTAATAATAATGCAAATCACAATTTTTTTTAAATATTAAATAATAAAGCAAACAAACAAACAAATAAATAAAGCTATTATAATAAAAGTCTTGTTGGTTGCTTTGAGATAGATAGATATTCAGTTCAATTCAGTTTATTTGCCAGACTCATGTCCAAAAAGCCACGCAAGACAGGACAGATAAAAACAAACAAAAACAAACAAGCAAACAAACAATAAAAAAAGAAGCAAATACAATAATTAAAATACATACAGACATTTCAGCCAATGCACTCTCAGTCTGGATGTGTACCTGCAGCTGACTAAGGGATTTGAGAGTGCCACCATGATACTGTTGGTAGACTCATCCAGACGTTGCATAAACTTAAACATCAAATTTCTTAAAAAGTGCTTTCAGTGTGATTACTCATACAGATACAAACATCTGACTAGCACTCCCTCCTCTGGGAACCTTGAGTAAGATTCTCATTGCATCATTGTAGGCAACTTTTAACTTCTGCATGCTGGATTTTTTGTAAGAAGACCACAGATGGGCAGTAAAGAGTGGTGTACAGTAAGCTTTGAACAGAGCCACTTTTACCTGAGTAGAGCAGTAACTAAACTTACGTGCTATGGTGTTTGCCTGTGCATATAACTATATGTCATCATCATCATCATCATCATCATCATCATCATCATTCATATCATCTGTAATACAATGACCAATGTATTTAATCTTTTTGCAGACCTCAAGACAATTATTGGCTAGCATGAACACAGGAAAATTAAGCCATTTATCCTGTTTCGTTCTGCATATTAAAACAGCACTTTTGCTGGAATTATATTTTATATCAAATTCCACCCCATAGTCAGAGCATATATTAAGAAGCTCCTGCTGCCCAGGACTACTCGGACTAAAAGTAAGGTCATCTGCATACATAAGATGATTCACCAGCATGCATTGCCACCAATACAGCCACTGTTGCAGTATAGGATAGCTAGATAGATAGATAGATAGATAGATAGATAGATAGATAGATAGATAGATAGATAGATAGATAGATAGATAGAGTTTCAAAATTATTCATTCATGATAGATTTCGCTGTTTTGCGTTGTTAGCATGTGACAACGACAGGGGACGCTGTGTTATGCAGCTCTAAAGAAAGACACGAGTGATATCGGTATCGAAGTGCACTACATTTACTTAACTTCTTTTGGGTTCTGGACTTCCAGCCTTATATCATGATATGATTAGGCCTACTGTAAACACAAGGAAGGGAACTCTGGAAATAAAATGTGAGATTTACATCAAGGGAAGATATGCCTGGCAAACAATAATTTCAAATAATCTCTTATTGAGTCTGAATTATTTATTTAGTATTAGTAAAGCATAAAATTGAGGCTATCAAATTATTTTATTTTGCTGCGAAATGAAAAAAAAAAAAAAAATCAGAGCCAATTCCTCCGTAGCCTATAGCCTATTAAACATTCATGTTCAGTGCCGTTTGACTAGGCTACTTTAAAATAATGCCCATTAGTCTAAAATTAGCTCATTTAGAGAAATATTGGTGTATTTTCGTATGTTTACATAATCCTTGTTCACTAAAAAAAGAGGCTTGGTTGTTTCAACCCAGATTTTGGTCAAAATGGGCAAACCCAACAGTTGGGTTAATTTAATTTAGCCCAACGGTTGGGTTTGTCCATATTTGACCCAAATTTGAGATGAAACAACCATGCCTTTTATATATGCATCATGCTGTAAATAATTTCGTTAGTAAATCGGGTATTTAGAAAGCCAATTCGGATGTGTGTTATAGTTTTTCTGACAGCTAGATGGTGCCAGAGCATTAGCCTACTATTTAAAAAAAAAAAAAAAGCATTTATTTAGCTGTCAACGAAAATTTGGTTTTAAATTTACTTACTGACAATTTAACGTGTTTAACGAGTTTCCCTTTTCATATGTATATTCGTTTTTCCTAACTTGCAGGTTTTTTTTTTTGCAGTTTAAGAGTGAATTCATGTTGGGACACTTTTTGCCATTGAGATAACTGGGGAAAAAAATGTCCTATTCAACCTGAATTCACCCCTATAGAAAGCTGTCAGTGCACCTTGCATACTGAAAACCATTGTAATTATTACTTAAGGTTATGGAAATGTGGTGTTTTTTAAGAATGCACTGACAGGGGCCCCTTCACAAAGTTTTGCCCAGACGTGTGGCAATGGGAAAAATATATATATTTTGAATATGTTGATTTTCTTGGTGTCATGTGATGTTATTTTATGTTTCTATGTATTTTAGAATGTTTTTTTTTTTACTATTTATGGACAGCACTTTAGTCCATTCTAATAGTTTTGAAAGTGCTTTATAAATAAAAGTTGAGTTGAGTTACAGCTTGTTTTTGGCTTCAAACATAATCTGAAGAAGTCTGGTTCGGTTATTGAGTTGCTGGCCAAAGCTGCAGTGTTACATGAAGACCCTTCCATGGTCATACATGCAATATAGTAATAATCACTTCACTTCACTACACAGAGGAAGGTTATCAAACAAATAAATAAACAAACAAATATATAATAAAGTCTCACTAAAGTTGTGAGCCTCATATATATTCAGTGGCACCAACAATACAGGAATCCTACAATAATACATCCAATACAGTCAATGTTAAGAATAAATTCTTAATTAAACTATTAATTTAGTTATTCCTAAGTCATGTTTCAACACAGATCCTGGTATCAGCTTCACATGATGACCTCACTTTTTCTCACGACCTCTCATCCCTTCTCTTCCTCTGGACTCACTCAATCCCTCTCTTCCTCTCTGTTTTGTTCCATGGAGAGTAATGACACAGAATAGTGGATAATTTTGTGACCCACTTTGTGCCCCTGTCAGGCCTAAAACAGACATTAAGCATGCATGGGTAAGCAATAACTCGGTGAAAGCTTTGTGCATATTATGGGCAAATGTGCCCCTACAACATACAACACAGCTAAAAACAAATAGTGGTCTATGTAGGCATATCCATTAATACAATATGTCAAGAAGGGGGGAAAAAAAAGGCAATTACAGTTTAGGAGTGCACCTTCTTCAACAACTTTAATGTCTCAGGTGATTTTAGATTTTCTGCTTTTTGAAGTTATACATTAAAACTGACTTTTGCTGACTATTTTCACTAAATTTAAAATGGCCTTTAAGTGTGTAGATTTTAATAACTTTTAAAAGTTAGTAGAGAAATCAAACTTTTGTAGGCCACTACTTTTTTGAAAAGTGGATTTTAAAACAGGGCTCAAAGTTGAAAAATGCACACACAGAAATTTGTTTTCCTATAATTTCATCTCAATGTTTTTTTTTTTTTTTACATTATGTTTTAATAATTTTAATACTACTTTTGGAAGTAGGATTATTATGAGGCTGAGCCCAATCCAATTTTTATGGTTAGCTCAGTCCAGACAACCTGTCACATCCATAAAACCAAGTAAAGGTGAACTAATTCTATAATGTTAATGCAATATTTATGTCTTTCCTCTCTAAAGTGCACGTCATTTCAATGGATCTGGAACAGGGAAATGCTTTGATATCCATTAGAAGCTTCCGCTAGTAGCCTACTATTGTAAATCTTTTCAGTCTTGCTATCTGTATGCAAACAATGCAAAAACTTCGAAGCAGTGAAGCTTCAACAATTTGTATTACAAAACCTCTGAATGACTCAAAAAACTTTATCATTTCCCCCTTCCGATAAGAGCAGCGCTTTTGTGTTGATTTCCCGAGCTCGTACTGGGTGTGTCCGCTCTGTCAATCAAGACTTACTCAATCCCTAAGCCCCGCCCCTTCTGCTCTCAGCTCCAGCACACACGCACTGTCAACTCACCCGCGCAACTTTACTCGATCACTGGATTTTACATCACTTTTGGAGTACAAAAACTTACTTTCCCGGTGTGAAACGTTATTGGACCTGCGTTATAGGACATGGAGGTTTAGAAGGGGCGATTGTCGTTGTAACGAGTAAGATTTGGGCCATATTTCGTGTTTGATGGCTGCTGGGGATGGAGCCCAGCTGCCGGCGACCGTAGCGGCCAGCAGGAGCGTGGAGAAGGCGCTGGAAGAAGCTGCGTCCAGCGGAGCGCTCATCCTCTCCAACCGCAAACTAAAAGAGTTCCCCCGCACCTCCAAGAACTATGACCTGTCCGACATTACACACGCAGGTAAGACTTTAATAAAGCGGTCAGAGGGGGATCAGTGAAGGGGGGGAGGGAATGTATCAGTACATTTAATGTCCTTTGTTTGAGTGTCTTCTTCACCTGCGCCCCTTCTACAGGGGTGCACGAGCACCACCACCATCACGCCCGACCCAGGAAAAGCGGATCTTTCACTTTTTATGATCTGTGTAGGAAGCCGATCATCTGATAAATTCGTTTCTGTACTCGCTTTCGTTTCCAAAGAACTACACCACTGCCCATTCACCACTTTATTCTGTTTTTTAGTCAGGTTGTTGAGTTTGAGATTGGTGTGTTTGCTTTAGAAATTGTAGACATCTGAGCTGTGCTTCTCTTCCTGTTGTTGAGGTGGAAACTACACTCAAGCTGAGCCGTCTTACCACAGACAACACTGTAAAACTTCACATTTGATCGCAGTGCAGTGGAAACCCAGCGGAATAGTGATACAAAATGTTATTGTTGTAGTCAGCTCATTTGAGTGCACTCTCATTGGTAGGGAGCTTGTTGAGATCCATCTTGCCAGCAGCACTAATATGACCATCTGGTCCTCTCTCATACAAAGTGGGTATAAAGCAGTTTGTATTTGAGCCATCCAAACCCCCACACGCACATGCTCTGAAGGAGAGTTGTTGCAGTGCATTTACTATTTAGTTGGGCCTAAGCACAGATAATATCTGCTGCATGTGGCATTTCATTTTCCTTTTACCGTAATTTCAGTTCTTGAACCTCTTTTTGTAACTTTTTGACCCACATCTGGTGTTATTGACAAGCTTGAAAACAGATTCTGCTCTAAAATTCACTTAAATGCATTTACAGCTTTTTAGTTTTGATAAACAGTACAAAAACTATAAGACCTTCCATTAGGGTTGCACGATATATCAAAATGATCGAAATATCGCAAATGTACATCGCAATAACTGCATGATTGTAATACTCCAAAAGATAACAAAAAGTTTAAGTTTTAGGTCGACACAGACCGCAGAGAGTAGACTGGACACAATGAGTTTACATACGTGTGACATGTTTAATAACATTAAATGTTATAAGCGAAGTATCCACGCACACATAAAGCCTCCTCTCGGACAGCGTGTGCTCCAGGCTTCAGTTCTCTTCCACAGCTTAGGCTATATGGCCAAATACACACAAAATTATGTCAAAATGCCCACCTTAGTGTGTATTCATGTAAACACAGTCAATTATGTCTTAAGTGGACTAAACAGTTGAGAAAGAAAGCGCGCATGTAACAATATATTGGATCTTAAAGTGACCGCAGCCTAATAAACCTGCTTGTGTGCTTAATGTTAATCAAACAACAAAATACAAAGAGAAAACCACTCACTGCTCTTAACTGAATAACTTATGAAGCTTTAATAATAATCAGTATTTAATTCATACAGAGAAGACTAAGCAGTGTTTTATTTTTTACATTTGATTATTCAATTTCTGTTGTTAAATAAACCTTATGTAGGCATACACGAAACCCTAGACCCCTTGGTTTACACTGATGTTAAATTGAGACTTGCTTTTTATGTAATGCTTCAGTAAAACACTTCAGAAGTTGTAGGAATGCTTTCTTCTCACAAATAGAATGTGAAACATGTGTTGTTGGTTATATCATTTTCAGTTTTGAAATATATTTAAATATAATCTCAATTTATTTTACACACTTTATTAAGATTATCACTTTAAGTTTATTGAATTTATTAAGAATAAGTATTCCCGTTTATTGTATTGTTCAGATTTTTGTGTAGAGTCACTGTAACTGAACATCCCTTTTTATGTGCACATGTCCAAACCAAGGTCATTCTGTTTGATATTAGAAAAAAACTGATGTAAAAAGCTGAGCTACTGAAGAAACACATTTGTTGAGCGATGAGAAGGCCTGGGTTTATTTGTTACTCATTGTGCTGTGGTATGCCATTGTTAAGGACATGAATGAGTGTTCAGACTCAGAGGTCATTAAATTAAATGCAGCATAATAAATGACAAGAACAAGCCTCTCCAGTAGCAAATGAAGGAAACATGTATTAGTTCATTTTGAATATGCAGATAAAATGTGGAAAAATCAAATACTTTTACAGAATAAGGCCTTAACCAAAAAAATACTTTAATCTGAAAATGATGTGCAAAATGGTAGGCTAATTGAGAGGAACACATTCAGATTAGTAGTCAATTCATTTATGTATTGTTCCCGCACGGTCCCACCTCATAATCTTGAATATTTGGTGACATAGTAGAAAAAAAGTATTAATTATTAGGAATCTTTTTTTAGAATATTGACTTATATTTAGAATATTGATACCGCTGATGTACTCTCAGGCGCTGACAATAGTTCACTATTGGCGCTTTTCCACTACACAGTACCAGCTCGCCTCGGCTCGGCTCGGCTCGACTCGACTCGCCTTTGTTTGGTTTTCCACTGTGTAAAAGTTGTACCTGTACCTGCTTTCGGGTACTTTTTTTCGTACCACCTCCGGCGAGGTTCTAAGCGAGCTGAGGCGAGCTAAGCCGATACTAAAATGTGACGTGAAAACAATGCCGACTGCTGATTGGTCACAGAGAATCTGCGTCATCATTGCACGCGCCAGATGGAGTATCCAGAATAACCCCGCCATTTTTAAATAGTTTGGCCAGAGATAGTTACTAAACTTACTTACTAGTATTATGGCAACTCGGAAGAATACGCCGTGGTCAAACGAGGAGGTGCAGACATTCCTTTGTTTGGTTGCCGAAGAGAGGATCCAGCGAGAGCTTGATGGGGCAACGAGGAACGAAATGCGTCGCTATGACGACCGGGTACTATTTGTGGCGGTACTTTCTGCAATGGAAAACGGAGCGAAAAGCGAGCCGAGTCGAGGCGAGCCAAGGCGAGTCGAGTCGAGTCGAGCTGGTACTGGTAATGGAAAAGCGCCATATGTCAAAACCCTCTTTTGGGTTTAGCTAGATGGTCTAATCTCTCATTTTTCTGTGGAGGGTTTTTCACATCAATTTTCTGCGTGGATAAGTATGTTGCCTTGGAAACCGTACTGTACATCTGACTCTCAGAAACCCAAGCCACAGTTTGGGAGCAGTCCGAGGATGTGGAACAGTTTAAGAGAACTAGGCCTGAAACTGCCATATTGTATAAATGCTATAAATCCAAGCATAGTCCCAGTGTTTAAAAAAAATCATGCCATAATAATCATGTTTCATAGACACACCTACTGTAAAGTTGGAGAATGATTACTAGGTGTTGCTCATATATTACTGGTTGCAGTTGCAATGTGTATTTTAAGTGTGCTTGAAGGTAGGAGGAAGATGATAGTGTCTCTTTTGCTAAGAGACCTATTGAAGCAAAGATTGATGCGCCTTGGTTTGTTCTTAGTCTACACACACTTTCTCTCCTGAAGACTTGCTCTCCAATATAGAGTAACTTCCCCTCAGGAAGGTCAAGGGCTCAGTCTTGCCGAAGGTCCTGTTCGGTAAATCCCAGTCTCATCAATCCACCGAGACCCCTTAATCTCATTCTGCACTCATTCAATTCAAAAAGTTTATTTGTATAGAGAATGATATGATTAAAAAATATTAGGTTCATTTTTGAAAGTTTTGCGTGTCAATCCAAAGTTGCGTCATCTGAAATCTTCACAATTGTCGGCGTTGCCTGAAGACATTGCAAAGGCTTTATGCAAACTGGAGCTGGCGCAATCTAAAATTACTCCGGGACTCATAACCTGAGTAATAATACAGCCACTGTTGACTTACTGTATCTCCACAACAATAACACAAGCTAGACTGTGTCTCAGCACTTTAGGGTGAAATGACATCCCAGACTGCGATTCTTTTCACCGTCCCAGAGAAATGAAATAAATTCAGTTATTTAAAAGAGGTGCTGAAAGATGGATGTCGAGAACGCTGGATAAGAGAGATGGATAAGAGTTCATGAAAACAAAAGGACAACCGTAGAAGCAGCTTTGGGAGGAAAATGCTCTCTGGACATGGGCACCAACAGGATCCTCCAAATGAAATCACAGTCAATGTGTTTTTGTGTGTGCGTAGATGAAAATATTTGTTTCCATCCGGCTCCCACACTTGTGAGCATGCCTGGGGCATGAATGTCGTGTAGCCCGTAACACAGTGTCTCATTCAGAGGCACACTCACTCCATACCACAACTAAGCCTCACAGCAGCTGAGAGAAAGAGGGGAGGGAGAGAGCCCTTTTCTTGATAAAACAGGCTCGTGGGCTGCTCCCATTGTCATGATATTCCCGAAATAGGGTCCCTCCTCTTTCCCCCCCCAACTGGAGTCCCATTCGGCAACACCCCTCCTCCTTGTCTGAGGCAGGCTTCTTCTCTCTCCCACTTGCTCTCCCCATTTCCCCATCTCTTTCTTTTCTTGGTCGGGTGAAGATTCCCTTCTATCCAGGTCATCGTAGAAGGTCTTGAATTTGGGGTCGTTTGGATGATTTTCAAAAGATTTTCTAGAGATGACCCATATTATATTCTACAAGACACTTTCCTCATGGCTTATTTCCATTGATCTGTTATCCCCCATCAGTAATGTTTCCTGTCCAATATTAGCCTGTAGGCATGGCTGTGTCTGTGGTAGTGAAAGTCTAGACTGTCTGGATATTGGCCTAATAATGGTTTAGTTTTTTGGCATACATGCAGAGTTGCATTTAACTCTCTGGTCCCTATTTTAACGATCTAAGCGCATGGTCTTAAGTGCACAGCGCAAGTGCACTTAGGACGTGTCCGAATCCACTTTTGCTAGTTTAATGACAGGAAAAATGGATGGCGCATGGTCTAAAAGGGTTGTCCCTATTCTAGGGCTGGGCGGTATATCGAGTTTGTATGAGATATCGATATCTTTTTTTTTTAAACGATATGGAATGAGGCAATACCTTCCTTTATATCGATACAGTATAGTTTGATATTACGAGTCGAGCACATCTGAAAAATAGCCGAGGACGCAGTGTTGAGCTGCTGCAGTGAAAGTACAATTTGTCCTA